CGATAGTGTTACGACAGCGGGGGTCACGTGACGCTAGTAACACGTCATATTCTCGAAGGTTCGTGAAGCCTCGAGTGTTTACTAGATATGTGGTATTCATGTATATAAGACTGCCAAGAAGTGACGGCAACAATGTAATGTAATGTAATTGAACTTCAGACAGAGAGAGACTGACAATTGAGTCGAGCACGTGAGTCGTTTGTTGTGAATTATAGCGTTTGTTATAGCGTGACTGTGGAAATTAAGTATATTGCAAAGCTGTATTTAGAAAGAATAAACAAGTTTCATTTAAGAAAGGACTTGTATTGCTAAAGTTTCTTCCAAAAGAAATTATACGGAAAATTAACTAACGAACGGAGGCGTAACAGTATTTAAAGAAATCCTTGCTGTTAATTTTCACATTTTCTGCCAACCTTTTCTCATACATTCTTTTAATGTCATAATTTCCTGTTTCACCAATTTTCTTGATCTTCTATAATCTTTTAAACCTCTTGTCATACCAGTCAATTCAAATTTCTTAAATAAATGATGCTTTTCTCAAGTAGAACACTACATAGTGGGAGCTGTATATTTCAAAATGTTTCTTAAATGTAATTTCATTAGAACATGGATACAAAAATTTTGCATTAACAAATTTAACAGTAATGTACTTACTATAAACTGTTTATTTAATAAAAATTCAAGACATACCCCATTATGCTAATGTCTGGGTTTTATAAATAAAAATATCTACTTAGAGCTTTTAGGTTTTATCAAATAATCTGATATAATGACAAGTATTTTGAAGTTTATTATATAACGATCCCTTTCTAGAAATACTTCCTTGTTCACCTGATGGAAAATTAAGAAATAATGAAAACAAACGTTTACTAGTTCAACAGTCGCCTTCAGTGTTTTATAACTTTTTATCTTATTGTATGTACATGAAAATTAATTAATTCATATATAGAAGAAAACAAAGTAAATTATATTAACAGTAATGTCAGAAAACGGGAAGACATTTGAAGAATCACACTTCCATCTTTATGACTTTCCTACAGTCTCAATCCCTCGATTAAGTCATTTGAATCCTGATACTGACAGGCTTATTTCAGAAATGGTAAGAATAAAACGTTTTAGGTTTACTAGTTTTACTTTTAGACCTTTTCACAGATTTCATTAGTAGTTTTGATAAATTCCAGGTTATGTATATATTGTTTAACATGCATTAACATAACGTAATATTTTGGGACAACATGGGACCTATTGGTCCATCTCAGCTGTTCCATCCTCAAAACTAAATTAAAATTATTAAAAAATAATAATAATAACATTTTTAACGCATCCCTTTTCGTTCATATACTTATCAAGCTTTTTCTTAAACTCGCTTAAATTTACTGCCTCTACAACATCTGAAGGCTACCCATTCCAAAAGCCAACCACCCTGTTAGAAAAATAAAATTGTCTTAGCTGAAGATGATTCCTTCCTTGACAGAATTTATATTTTTGCCCCCTAGTCCTACTATTCTCATAGTTAAACATAAAAAAAGATAATACATCAATTTCAGTTTTGTACATTTTCTAAAATCATTATTTATACAGCGTCAGGGTGAAAGATAATGCATGTTATGTTGTATAGGAAAGTGAAACTGCTGCCTAGTTTGTTTAAAATGTAATTCATACAGAAATGAGTATATGATATAGACTGTGTTATAATATATGTATTGTTATTTTTGTTTCTTTTAATATTATGTACATTCTGTTTAAAAATAAATCTGCATAAAGTAAATAAATTTAATTTAATTTGAGTAAGTAGAATATTTAAAATGTTGATGTGTTATCAAGTTTTTGCTGTTATGCAACGATACTTGTTAATCTGCCATTAGGCGTATTAAAACAATGTTTATGAATGAATCCATGATAGTTAAGAACTTTAACGTTTTTACTATATATTATTTAAGCCACATTCAAAAACTTTTGAATTTTCCACTAAACTTGGCAAATTGGAAGTATAATTTGCGGGAACATTGTTTTTACACAAGATACAGAAAAGCTTAACTGCTTAAGAAGCTCTTAAATGTTTTTCTATGGTGTTCTGGGCCGGATCTCAACTTCATTAAAAAGTCTTTAATATTTCGTGAGCTTTGGTTCATATAAATTAATACAGAGATTGAGTACATTATATTAAAATTATTTTAGAGCCTCACTACATGGTTACAGTTCATGTTTTTACATACAGAAGGACATTGAATTGTTGGAGAAGGTTCAGATAAGAGCCACTAGGATGATACCTAGGATGTTGGGACTGTCCTATGAGGAGAAACTAAAATCTCTAAACATGTTTTCTCTGGATAGGAGAAGGGTCAGAGGGGATTTGATTGAAGTGTTTAAGATTATTAAGGGTATTGATAATATATATCCACCAAACTTTTTGTACTTATCAGTAAAAACAATAAGACAAAGGGGGCATAAATTCAAATCTTGGCAGCATAGGAGTCGTCTGCAGTTTGGAAATATTTCTTTTCAAACAGGGTGGTTGGCTTTTGGAATGAGTTGCCTTCAAGAGTGGTGGAGGCAGAAAATTTAACTGAGTTCAAGAAAAGATTGGATGAATACATGAGTAGTAAGGGGTTGTTATAGTTTGGAGCCAGGAGGGACATCCTTGATGGGCTAATAAGCTCCTTTTTGTCCGTTTAAAAGTTTTATGAAAAATGCTCCACCTGATGACATCTCTGCAACATAGCTTACATTTTGAAAGGCTCCATTATAGAACTGTCATGTTCAAAGTATAACACTCCTTCCTGCAGGTGTTTCTTAATCTATCTAGTGTTTGAAGATGACGGATTCCCAATGTCTGTTTCAACAATCCAGTTGCATACACATAGATAGGATGCTACATCCAACAAGTTGACCAGTGTGTCTAAATGAGGAATAGCATGAACACCCATTTCTTTCTCCAGCTGCTTGAGGTATGATGTGAAGCCTTATCTTGGTGGATCCACATTGTGTTGACCTTGTTTCCACATGAAGAGCCTTCCTTATTATGTTCCATATTTCTGCTTAGGGCACATAAATAGTGTTTCCCACTATTTTTGATTTTCATGGACTTTTCAGTTGTTGCAAGATACTGCACCTTGTATATCACAGCTGGGGTATGAATTGATTAAATCTCTGAATGGTCCTGGTCCTCTAAGTTGATTCATATTCCTTTATTTTCTAATGCCATTAAGCACAAGGGATATCCCTATTTTGGAAATTCTAAATCCCAAACCTGAACAGGTGTTTATGGTCTAAGTATATTAATATTTTGCGTCAGAAAGGGCTTTTACATACACTTTCAAAAAGCAATCAGTGCTTGATGGCATCACACTACCTAAGAAATGTCTGACAGTGTCAAAATGCAGTTCCATTGTGACTTTATATCAGCTATGATTGTCGCATAACTTATTTATTTGCATATTAAGAATTATTTTAATATAACATAATCACCCTCTATATGTTATGTTTAATCACAGTGTTTTTTATTACATATTCAATGTTTCAAAAATTTAAATTATTTTTTTCTCTCTTATTAGAATATCAGACACAAAGAATTAGTTTTGAACCCCCTTTATAGAATCATTTATGTAATAAATTGATAGATGTAAAAGTAATATTTGTATATATATTGGTACATTAAAGAATTTTTTTTATATCAGTTAGTTTTGTTTCTCTTAATACTGATAACATTCTTGATATCTTTTAATATGTAATTTATACCTGTTATTCATGTAGAGTGTTTAATGCCTTCCAATTTGTAAATTTTTACATTTATAGAAGCCTGTAGTCCTGACTGATACAGAATTAGTTGCCTCTGCTCAAAAATGGAACCTTGACTACTTAGAGAAGAACATTGGTCCTGGGTCTTATACTGTTTACCTTTCAAACAATAAAAAATTCAAATATTTTGATGAAAGTAAGATACGAGAACACAACTTGAATTTTACCCCTCCCACTGAACGAATTGAAATGAAATTTTGGGATTTTGCTGAGCGTCTTCGAAACTGGAAAGATGGTGAAAAAAGGTTAAGTATCAGCTATTTATTTTGAAAAGTTTTTATCCTTATAGAACACCAGGATTAAAATTTACAGGCATATTGGTGCAGTTTGTGCTAATGAAATATATTAGTACACCAGCAAACCTTCTGTTAATAAATCTAGGGGCAAAAAAATAGTATTTATTAACTTTCTGGTCAAATTCTGTTCAGAGTTTTATTTTCGTCTGTCATCCATATCAGTCTCATTTCCTGTTAAGTACAGAAAGTGGCATTGTTGTGTTTTATAACTATTCCTAATCACATGGCTACCACTGATGTTTCATAAATTATCAGGCTCTAAATGATTGGTGAAGTAATGGCATCTTCACTGAGTTTTCAAACAATTTTTAACTTTGGATCTCATTCTGTTGTAGCAAAAACATCATGGAAACATAACATATATGTTTCAGGTACACAAGATCCTGTGACAACATTGGCAATTTTGACAAAATTTTAGTGAATAGGCCTCAAATAAAGAACAAATTAACCTCTTTTAGAAGATCTTTTGACAAATAGACTAGTGATTTTTCTAGAAGTACAATTTGCAGATGAAGATGGTAATTTCTGTTCGCAAAGGCCAAACATTGCTTCTGAATAGTTGAAAAGTTGGTAAAGTTACAGAAAAATAAAAATGTTGCCCCAGTTAAGAAGAATTATTCATCATTAACCGAGTTCCTGAGATGGCCAAGAGCAACAAATTGCCCCAGATAGTCGCATGTGAATTTCGACCCCTAGGATACTGTGATTACATTTAAAATAACCAGATGAGTATATTTTCCAATATATCTTTTTTTAACAATTTAAGTTGGGGATTTTTGTTTGCTTGTCATAAGATTTTGATGTGTACATTTTATTAGAGAAACATCTACTCCCCAAATAGAATTTAAATTACTTTTCTATATTAAAAGAACTTCTGAGGGAAGGTAAAGAAGAGTGTATAATAATAATATTCTAACAATATTTATCTTAACACTAAATTGTTTATTGTTATGTATTTATTTTTACTTGAATTAACTTATTCATCCTCCAGAAGAACTTGCAAGTTGCGAACAAACAAGCTAATCTTCTTGATAATTAAGCACAGCATCAGGAAGATATTCTTTATTTTTTCAGAATAAACAATCCTTTCATCCAGTAATTCTTACATGACCTACAGTTTTTATTGTTTGAAGCTTTTTTTTAATTAAAATTTGTTTATCAAAATCTGTTTTTTTTGTTGTGTTTTTTTTGTACATGAAGATTATGACTGTTCTTAACTTTCAGAATGTATCTACAACAGCCTCTGAATGATACTGTGGGAAAGAATATGGTTGATGATTTTCTAAGTTTTAATTGGAACTGGATAGCAAGGCAGAAAAAAGAAAACAATTGGGGACCTCTAACATCTAATCTTCTATTGATTTCTACTCCAGGTAAAGTCAGATTGCTAGTCTGATTTTTCATATAATAACTATAGTTGTACTTGTCAGAAATGCACAACAAAACATGATTCTAAATGCACATAAAACTAATCCTATGTGGAGTGTGTTGAATAAACTCCACAGTGAACATACTGTACAAAAACAAAATGTAGCAGAGATAAAAGAACAGTTGATATTTTTGAAATATAAATAAGGTTTTTGATAACATTTGTAGGTTCAGTGAAGAGGAATATCTAAATGTTTTACCTGCAGTAAAAAATAGTTCCAAGATTTTTTTTACAGAACAAAGGGATATATTTTTATAAATGCAATGTTTACTGTATACACACACACACACATGTATAGGCATGTTTTTAATAGCCAAAATCACTTGATATATCAGTCTATAATGTTAATTCAATAGTAATTTTTTTCTTGAACTCTTAGTTACATCCCTATATATACGAGCTTTGTATTCATGATACAATAAAAAAAACATGATATACAGGCTAGAAAGTAAAATTTGAATTTTTTTTTCCAGAATGATATTCTATCCACTTCACTTTAAATCTCAGAAGACACGTTTTTAATGGTTAGGTTAATTAAAATGTGTAAGTCTCTGGAGAATTTTTACTATAAATAATTTGCACATTTTAAATTTACAAGAAAAATCTGGTAAACTGATATGTATTATAAATTGCCTGAATGAATGAAAAAAATCCTCTATCTAACTCATGTCTTATTATTAAGTGGCAAAATATTTTAAAATCTCTACTGTAACCCTATAAGTAAGCTTGAGAAAGTTGGTGAGTGCTATTATATGCACCAACAACAACAAAAAAAGAGCAAGAGCAAAATAATCATAATTTATAACAGCTTGTAGCTTCCATAATTGTTTGTACTTTGAGTTTTGATTTGATTAAGAATGTGTATGAACTCTTGTGATATCATGACTGGGTGTGGCATAATGACAAGCGTGCTGGGCTGTAGATTGAAAAGTCCAAGGGTTAACAATGATATATAGCAGAATGGGACCTGCATATGCAGCTTTGGGGCCACTATACCTGTGATAAACAGTACTGCTATTGATTTAGAAATAGTCACATAATGTTGCAATTTACCTGAATCCTGTAGATTTTAATTCTTGGTGGTAAGTAGAAATATTGAGAAACAAGCAGAAGTACCCATCCCCAGTGATGGGAGAAGTTTAAGTTAATCTAGCAAAAGTACTTGTCCCCAGTAATGTGAAAAGTTTCAATTAATCTATCAATTTAAATTATTTTATGTATTTTAAAAAGTTTAATTATGTTGCACTCTTGGTTTCACTCTGAGCCACTTATACTGCCCACCTTGAAAAGTAATTGTTGAGCATTTGCATTATGCTAATAGCCACTCAACAATAACATATGGTAAATCTAAATTTTTATTCTTTACGTTATATCACATTTTGAAATGTGAATGATAGTGTGATTAATCCCTAATAATTCAGTATTGAATATCCTGCTTACGAAATATAATTCCAGTTCTTCCAGTTGAGCTTTGTCTGTGTGTGCAGCTTTTCAAATGCAGCATGGGAAGTGGCCACTGTAATCAGAATACAAATAAATGCCAAGACATACACCACGGTTCACAATATATATGATTAAAAGTAGATAAAGTACCATGGGTCAAGAGCCAGACAAGGTTTTCTCCAGGATTTTAAAGGAAGTCGATGATCAAATATGTGATGCCCTCTGTCTCATTTTTAGTAGGTCAACAAAGAATTGGCAAGTGCCCCATGATTGCTTATATTACTCTAAATTTCAAAGGGAGTGTTATGAGTTACCCTGGTAATTATAGGTCAGTTAGTCTTATTTCTGTAGCGAGAAAAACTCTTAGAGAGTCATAATATATAGATATCAATAAAAGAAGCTTTAAAAATCATTTTTTGAAATGTGATATTATAAATAAAAACCAACCTAGATTAACCAAGGAGAAATCTTGTCTGTTAAACTGTTATCTTTTTTTGAAGGTGAAACTTGTTACTTGGGTAATGAAAAGGGTGGGAATTTGGTGTACTTTTGATAAGCTTTTAATTAAGTGTTATGCAAAAGATTAGCTTTAAAAAATCACGTTTGTATGGGCTGGATAAAGCTTAGTGAATTGGATTGTAAAGTAATTGGGTGAGAGAAAGGAAAAAGGTATTAATGGAGTACAGTCAAACTGTTTTTTTTTTTTTACTATTGGAGTACTTCAGTGGTTAGTGTATGAGTCTTTGCTCTTTCCTGTTTATATTAATGGCATTGATAGGGGCACAGTTAGTAAATTTTGCTGATGACATGAAATTCTTGGGTACTTCTAGCTGTATTTAAGTACTATGGAATAACATGGACCATTTGGTAAAGTATACAAATATTTGGCAAATGACAAGGTAATGCATTTAGGCTATAATTTGGATCACATGTTTAGTATAAATTGGAACCAACTCAGTGATATGACTAAAGAAAATGAGGCTAGTATAATAATTCCATAGTTGAAATGATTAACTTACAGAGATAGGTTAACATCTCTTATTAAACTTATCTTCTCTTAAAGTTTAGATTATCCAGGGAATGAATAGGATTAAGGCATCTGACTTTATGCTATATTTTGAAGGTAATTGGACAAGAGGAAATTTAAGATTTGAAAAAGACAGGCTAGGCTCTAGTTAAGACAGTAATCAAGTTATGTATTACTTTATTCTGTCTACAAATTTTGTAAAGATTAACAGCTTTATACCCTTGAAAATATTGCACATGGTATTTCAAAACTAGTAAGGTACTTAACTTCATATTTTTGTAAATTTATGTTTGTTTGTCATTACTTCATTTGTGCTCATAAAGCTGTTAATCTTTACAACATCTCGTTAAGACAGTTTTATTTTTCTAAAAGTGTAATTTACTTATGGAATGAGTTACCATCAGCAGTAGTGGAAGTCAACACTTTACAGTAGTTTAAGAGTGTAATCAGTTATTTCTTTAAGAGTAAAGGGTAGGTTTATATATTAATTTTCCAAGGTGAGTTTTAAGCAAAGACACCTTTGAAGGACCAAATAGGCCCTTGTTGTCCATAGGTTATTTTAAGTTAGGTGCTGCTGATATAATCCCTCACTCTGTTCAGCATTTCTAAATTAGGAATGGTAATGTTTGAACCTTTGGGTTCTGACCTGGTTGTTTAGCCCATATGCTAAATAAGATGCCATTGAAGTTTAAAATATGAATATCAATCTTGTGATATCATCAAATCATACATCAAACCAATGTCATAAAACTAGATACCCTTTAAAATCTTGAAGCAACTACATATGTAAAGGTGTTCATGAATATCATTTTGAACTCCATTTTAAAGATGACACTGAAACTTACCAGTACTGCCAATTTTTAATGCACCTATAAAATAAATTAATGCCATTAATATAGTGATCACACCCAATGATCTAAAATTAATTTTTGAATTTATGTGACTGTAGATATATATATCTATTAATGTTCAGGTTTGGTACCTTTTCCTTTCATGTAGATTACCTATTAGAGCTTCTTGTGTGAAAAATGTTGACTTTAGACTCTCTCTTTACAGTTTCAATTATAACTCAAGTTTGTAATGTGGACTATGGATATACGAATAGAGTGATGCAGGTTAATACACCTGACATTATTCCTTGTCATTGATATTTGCCTTAGGGCCAAAGAATTATCACTACCAGCCAGGGTACTCAGCTGATGATCTAGGGCATAGTGATCTACACACGTTTTTTGTAAATTGCCTGTTACTTGTTTTTAAGGTTATTTTTCTTGTTGATTTTAGAGAAATTGCTATGGAAGATGTTTGTTGAGTGAACAAAATGGATTAACAAGCTCTGATATCCTTCAAAAATTTTGAAGTTTGACCCGTGAAGCTAGGTGAACTAGCATATTTTAAAAATGTAACAATGTCATTAAACTTTTGTATAAAAAAATAATCAGCCAAGAATCGAAAGACTATTTCTGGTCATAAAAAAAAGCTTATGAAGAAAATTTTTATGTGTGTGAAAACTATTTTTGGAATAAAATAATAATTATAGTGAAGTTTTTTACTGAAAAGACGGCTACAGTTGATTTCATTAAAATGGTTTGGAAATAGCAAAATAACATTGAAATTGCAAGTGTTCTTCAGTTGTCCCCATGCTATTCTTTCTGTATTTAAAAGGTAACATCACACCAGTCCACTATGATGAACAGGAAAACTTCTTTGCTCAAATCCATGGCTACAAAAGGTTCATATTGTTTTCTCCTGATTGTTATGATAAACTCTATCCTCATCCTGTTTGGCATCCTCATGATCGACAGAGTCAAGTAAGTAAATCCTCATCATTGATTACCAAAGTTAAGTAATGTAATTCTCATCTTGCATAATATTGCCAAGACTAATGAGAGTTAAGCTAGTTAATCCTCACCTTATATTGTGTGATGGTGATCATCAATCTCAACAGTTATTTTTATATTTTTGTAAAACTCAAAAATACAATAAAGTTGAATTAGAAGCTTAACCATTATAAGTTTATACAGTTTCAGATTTTAAGCCTATGAGAATGAATTTAGTCAATTTCACCAACTTTGAAACTGTTAAACTATACATACTATAATTCTGAATTTATTATGTATATCTTCATGAAATTTGGCGAGCTTTCAGTAAACATTACAAGTTACTTCTAAAGATTTATCTCTGAATTTCCAAAACCTTTACTGAGTCATCCTGAATGCAAAGTAATTTTTATGTTAAAAATAAAAATACTTATTTTCATTTTACATTTCTTTTCATATTTCATTTGCAAAACCCTTTGAAAAATGTAGATGAATATTAGAAGTTTTTGTTTTTATTTTAATAACACTTTACACTTTCTGTCTTATTTTTTCTACCCTGCTACTAACTGTAGAGAAATAATCAATGTATAGTCAAATTTAAAGCTCAACAATATGAAATAAAATGAATAATAACATTTCTTTCTACGCACTGACTGCAGAATTGATCAAAAAGTTCCAGATTACTTAACAGTTTCAACTATTAAAATTTTTCACACCTGTTTTATTTTAATTTTATCATTTCATTGTGATGCTTTATATATTGGAGCAGTAATCTTTGTATAAAATGTAATGCATCACAGCAGGAATCCATTAGCTGTTTCCCCTATAGCTAATATAATCAAAACATGATCTAGTGTCATATTTCGCCTCATTTTACTGAAGTTTTCTAGGCTAATCTGAGAAGTTTTCGATTTTCACATTTTAATTACTTTTGTTAAAATATATAACAATTAATAAAACAAATACATTAAATACAAGAACTTCTGATATGGAACCTTACCTCCCTCACATAATAGCTTTTCTCATTCACTACTGCCCTCTATATGCAAAATTTTTTTGCATGCCACTAGCCTTGAAACTTCCATCTACCCCACGATTAATGTGGTTTACTGCATCTTCTCATGTAAATTATCATGTGACAGCCCTCCACCAGTAGGAGTGTGATACACCCTCCTGACATGTTACCCCTTCTATTTGATTCCAACCAACCACTTCTCTTTAAGCAGTTGTTGAGTGCAGATCTTTTTAATTTGTGCTGACTTACATGATCATTTCTCTCTTCTCAGCCATTTTGGACATGATTTTATTAACCTGAGATTGGAGTTTACTTCTTACCCATGGGTGATCTGGGTTTTGTCAGACAATTTCCTTGATTCTTCTCCTCACCTCCATTGTTTCCAGTTCCTGTATCCCTTCCCTTACATCAGTATCCTGCCATCAATCAGTGTCTTTCTGAGACTGTTTGGACTCTTCTCTCACAGCTTTTTGTTGTCCCCAAAAAGACCAGGGACTGGCATCCTGTTTTCTATATTTTTCACCTTAACCATTTTCTAGATCTGACCCACTTTAACATGGAATTTTTCCCTTGCCCTTCAGTGGATAGTTTTTTCTCCAGGTCTGTGGATGACCAAGGTGGACATTTCAGATGCTTATCTACATACTCTTATTTCGTCTAACTACCAATGCTATATTTGGCTTGTCCACAATGGGGTAATGTTTCAGTTTTGTGCTTTATTCTTCAGGTTTACCTCAGCACCTTATGTGTATTTTCGGGTAGTCAAAGCCATCTCCTCACTTATGCATGCTCGAGGGTTGAGGGTTGTCACTACATGGACAACTGGCTTCTGTTAGCTCCTTCTGAACTAGTGTCTTCTCAACACACTTATTTGCTCTTGACAGAAGCAGCTCGAGTGGGTTGGATTCTCGAGATGGAGAAGTCTTTCCTTATTCCTACCCAATATCTTGTCCACTTGAGTGTGATTTTCAACATTTACCTCCATGGTGTCTGCATTCAATGGAGCTTTCAGATCTCCATGCCCTTTCCTCTCCCTTTCTTTCTGCACATGAGGTTATATTGCTTTTGGAGACTTGGGCTTCCATGGAAGCACTTTTCCCCTTAGGTTGTGCACATATATGTTCTCTTCAATGGACATTGCACAATCAATGGAATATTGTTTGGATGCCTTGTACTCCCCAATTACCCTCCTTCCTTCTGTCCTGGACAATCTCCATTGGCAGTTGGACAAAGTCAACACAACAATGAGGGTGCCATTTTCTCTCTCTCATCCGGATTTGCATCTGTTCATTGTTGCTTCTCACTCCAGGGTTGGGGACATGGTTCGATATTCAGGAAGCTTCAGGACAGTGGACTCTACTCGAAAGATCCAACCATATCAACGTGTTGGAGCTTCTGGCATTACGACATGCTTAGGATCAGTTTCTTCCCTTTCTATGGAACAAGCTCGTCATGATCCATTCAGACAATTCCACCACTGTCTCCCATATCAATCACCAAAGAGACACCTAGTCTTATTCACTTTGTGGACACACATTGGAACTACTTTATTGGGCTACACACACTGGAGAATCGTCTCAAAGCATGTCATATTCCTGGTGCTTTCAACCTCATGGTGGATCGTCTTTTTTGACCTAGACAGATTTACTGTGGTGGCTTTACAGTCAGTAGGGTACCCCTCATCTGGATGGTTTTGCCACTTCCCTCAACTCCAAGTTCCTCATAAACAGGCCTTTGCAGTGGATGCTGTCAGTCAGAACTGGACCAACTGGTACTTTTATGCATACCCTTTTATCCGGTTTCTTCCAAGGGTGATTTTGATAATCCATTCCACTCTGTGTCAGGTACTTCTGATTGCTTCTTACTGGCCAGCAGAACCTTGGTTTCTTCTTCTCATTCAGCTTCAAACAACCCCTCCATTACTTCTTCCTCTCACTTTGCCCCTCCTCCATCAACCTCAGTCACTGGTCTTTCATCCTACCCTTCACACCCTCTGACTTCGTGCCTGGCATTTAGCAGGTCCTTTTTGAGGTGATCTGAATTGTCTGTGCATGTTGCTTCAGTTTTAGCCCATTCTGTTTGGCCTTTCTTGCTCAATCAACTGAAGTGGAATGTCTTCCACTGTGGGTGTTTATGGAATGGGGTTTCCTCTTCTAGATCCACTGTTCCTCTTCTTATGGAATTTCTTAACTGACTATTTGATCATGGGGCTTCTGTCTCTTCCATTACTGGTCACCAAGCAGCCTTGTCCAATGCCTTCTGTTTTTCCAGGTACAGTGTTGTGTTCCTTCCAGATTAGTTGACCACTTCATCAAGCAGCTCATCCAGATTGAAATGTCACACTTCCTTTCACTCCCTCTGTTTGAACCTTTGGCCTCCTTTTCCATGTATCACCTGTTCCTTAAAGACTTATTTCCTACTCCTTTTAGCCTGTTTGTATCATCGGTCAGGGATTTTTGCCATCAACATTTTACATACTCTGTTCTATTCCTCTTATATTCTCCTTTATCTGGATCAATATTTCCTATGCAAGACTTTGGTGGCTCATGAGGGATATTCTTCATTCACACTGATTTCTCTCCTTTATTCTCGGTCTGATGTAGATAGACTTCTATGTCCCATCTGTACTCTTCATTGTTATATTACCCACACTGTCTTCTTCCATGGTTTCCAATCCCATCTTTTCATTACCTGGAACCTTTCTCCTTTTCGTGACCTTTCTCTTTCTACCATTACACATTGGATTTTTCAGCTTATCAAACTGGTGTATTCCTCCCTGTCTCCTTCTTCCCAGAATTTTTTCCAGGTAACGTTGTATCAGATATGGTACCATACTTTCTACCTGGCATCCCATATCCATCATTCATTGGAGGAAATTCTTCAGTTGGGCATGTGGATAACATCTGACACATTTATCTCCCAATACCTTTATTGGTAGGCTATTTCTTTCTTGTCAGGGTACCACCTTCTACCTGTTGTCATACTTTAAACATATATTTAGCTGTGACTCAGTAAGTTTACTTTTCATATATGTTGCTTTCGTTTACAGAGGCATGTCCCTTTTAGGTCATAGATCCTACTGAGTGGCAAGCATTGCCTGTCCAGGTACAATACTTATCTCTAACTCAAAAATCTCCACACTATATGGCCAACCAGTGCATATAGAGGGCAGCACTGAACAAGAAAATCTATTATGTGAAAAAAGGTAAGTACCAATTGGGAATATATTTTCAGTGTAGGAAAATAATAACTTCTAGTACTCACTGCTTATTGAAGCTTTTATTCTCCCCTAAGCCTTGCTGACTCTAAGAAAGTTGGGTGTCTAAAAATAAATTCATGTAGCTCTCAAATATAGACCAAAAATTATATCAGGCACTAGAGTAGAAACTAATATTTTTTTTTTTACTATATTAGAGCACCAAATCTGAAAACACAAACCAATTAATTCTAGTTTAGAGAAGGGTAGCATGGGGAAAAACTGAGTACCACATTTTAAGATTTACATAGAAGAAAATCTGCTCTTTCTATTGTTTATAAAACAATGTTAATTGTCAGGGTAGGGAACTACTCACATAAATTCATTGATATTTCAGCAAATATAGAAGGTAGAAGGTTCATATTTTAGGTTCTTGCTTGTAATTATTTTCATTTTCTGATTGGTTGGAAACTGCAGCAGTTTATTTTAGATGTTAGAAAATTGAAAAGTGCAGAAATTGGAGCTCAGGCATGTCATATGACACAGAAAAATTATTTTCCATTTTTGGTAAATCAGTAGACAATTTGCATGTGCATGAAGATTAGAAAGTTCTGAAACATACACATCCCCCGTCTCACACGTACAGCTATTACTTGGCAACCAGGGTTTCTTCCTTTGCTCATTTAAGCATTGGTTTTTTTTTTTCTCACTTGCTATAGTCTTTTATATCCCACTTATTTGCCCTTGGAGATATTTCTCTCATGACACTTTCTGCCTGTG